CCGTGAGCTTTGAACCCTAAGCCTTAAGCCCTAGCCCCATAATCTCTGAGTCTTACCCCCTCAGTCCGAAGTCCCGAACCCTCGGCCCCGAACCCCAAGCTCCGAACCCTAATCCCGAAGCCTGGGCCTCCAAGCCCTGAGCCCTAACCCCCAAGCCCAGAACCCTGCGCCCTAGCCCTAAGCCCTCGGACCCTAACCCAGCCCTCCGCGGCAAGCCCTGAACCCTGGGCCTTGAGCCCCGAACCCTGAGCCCCGAACCCTGGGCCGTAAGCCCAGAGCCTGGAGCATAAGCCCTAAGCACTAAGCCCTCAGCCCTCAGCCCCGAACCCGAAGCCCGAAGCTCGAAACCTTCTGCCCTAAGCCCTGAGGCCCGAACCCTAACCCCGAAGCCCCGAAGCCTAAACCCTAGCCCCTAATAGCCCTAAGTTCGAAACCTTGAGCCCTAAGCCCTGAACCCTGGGCCCTATCCCCGAAGCTCCGAAACCGAAGCCCGAAGCCCCCAAGCCCTAAGCCCCGAGGCCTAAGCCAGCCTTGACCCCTAAGCCCCGACTCCTAACCCCTAAGCCCTGAACCCAAAGGCCTACGCCCTGAACCCTAAGCCCCGAACCTTAAGTCTTCAACCCTTAGCCTTAACCCCTAACCCCTAATCCGTAGGCTCTGAACCCAAAGACCACATCCCCAACCCTTCAGCTCCAAGCTCTAAGCCTTGAGCTCTAAGGTCGAGGCTCCAAGCCCTGAGACTGAACACCTAAGCCCTGCGCCCTAAGCCGAAAGCCTTGAGCCCTTGCCCTTGATCCCGAAGCCCAAAGCCCTAATCCTTAAGCCCCGAACCCAAAGCCCGAAACCCCGAACCCTAAGCCCTCAGCCCTAAGCCCCAAGCCCCAAGCCCCAAGCCCTGAACCCTAAGCCCGAAGCCCTAGACCCCAATCCTTAAGCCCTTTGCCTTGAGCCCCAACCCCTAATCCCTAAGCCACAAGCCCGAAGCCCGAAGCCACAAGCCCCGAACCCGAACCCCCAAGGTCCGAACCCTAACCCCCTAGGCCAGCTCTAGTTCACCCATGCTCCCTTCTCTTACCCTCCTCGTGCGGCCTGCCCTCGTCGCGCTTGTCTTGTTTTTTTCTTCCTCTCGCTCTTCCCCTGCGCCCCCTCCCGCTTCCACGTGCGAAAGCCTAGCAACGCATCATTGCGGCGACCCTCTTGCTTGGGCGTCATTTCCGAGTGGTTTTTCGCCGATCCCTTGCCGTAGATGATCTTCTGGCTAAAGGCGGCCAGTTTCTTCTGAATTCGCAGTGTTTGGGGATTTCGAAGCGAATCTAGCAAATTTCCGCGGGATTGGGGTGATCGAGCTTTCGAGGGGCCCAGGGGCTTCGATCGATCGGTTCAAGTTGCATTTGTATGGTTTCCTTTCGTTGAGTGCCGATTTAGAGAGGATTGCATTGGCCGAGCATTATTTACCCAAGTTCGGTAAAGTTTCGGCGCCTTCGTGTCAGATCGGTATATCCTCGTGACGCCGGCTCGCTTCTGGACTCATTCTGAGCGCTTCGCGTCTTTCAGTTTGCGGATCCCCCGAAGCAGCCTCGAAGCAGCCTGACCGGAAATTTACTACCTCCTCCTTCCCCCTCCTGCTCCTGCTCCTCCTCCTCATCCTCCTCCTCGTCCCCCTCGGTCCTCACCCCCTTCCTCGATCCTCCTCCTCGGTCCTCCTGGGTCCAACTCCTTCTTCTTCTTCTTCTTCTTCTTATTATTATTATTATCATGCGTACGAGTATGCTTATTATTATTATTATCCTTATTATTGTTATTATGTGTCTTCTTCTTCTTCTCCTCCTCCTCCTCCTTCTCCTCTCCTCCTCCTCGATCCTCCTCTTCCTCCTCCTCCTCCTCCTCCTCCTCCTCCTCCTCCTCCTCCTCCTCCTCCTCCTCCTCCTCCCCCTCGATCCCTCCCATCCTCCCCACGCCTCTCCCTCGACTCTTCTCTTCCCCCCGGGAGGGGGGGAGATCATGGCTTGCGGCGCCATGGAATCTCCCACCGATATAACGGCTTCCTTTTTCGTGTCCCCTCTTCTTGTTTCGACGCATCCATTGGCCACTCCCTGGGCCGCGCACTTGCATCGAGCAATGATTCGCGAGCTCCCCTCTTGAACGCCCCCTTCTTGGACGCCCATAGTCGGCGGTGGAGGGGGGGGGGCGCAAAGGGCGGGAAAGGGGAGGCGGAGGAGGGCGGGAGCGAGAGGCTCGAGGCGTTCGGTGCCGGCGTATTTTCTGGCCGCGGGGTGTTCTCTAGCGGCTGCGGCTCGCCAAGAGCATTCCTGAGCTGCTCGGATTGTCCCGAACGTCCGCCGGAGGTCCTGGCTTTGACCCGAGAGCCAGAGGATCGGGAGGCGGGGGAGGAGGAGGAGGAGGAGGAGGAGCAGGAGGGGGATGAGGAGGAGGATGATCAGGAAATCAGGATCAGGATCAGATCAGGTCAGGAGCAGGAGAGGAGAGGAGGAGGAGGAGGAGGAGGAGAGGAGGAGGAGGAGAGGAGGAGAAGGAGAGGATGAGGAGAGGAGGAGGAGGAGGAGGAGGAGGAGGA